GACAGCTTGAGGCTCCTGTCTCAAAAAAATAAATAAATAAAATAAAAAAGCACTATAATATTGTCCTTATACTTTTTTTTTAAGATAGAGTCTCACTATGTCACCCTCAGTATAGAGTGCTGTGGCATCACAGCTCAAGCAACCTCAAACTCTTAGGCTTAGACGATTCTCTTGCTCAGCGTCCCGAGGAGCTGGGACTACAGGCGCCTGCCACAACGCCTGGCTATTTTTTGTTTTTGCAGTCGCCATTGTTGTTTTAGCTGGCCTGGGCTGGGTTCAAACCTGCCAGCCTCAGTGCATGTGACCAGTGCCATAACCACTGTGCTACAGGTGCCAAGCTTATAATACTTTTGGTATTTAAATTAGTTTCCTGGAATACATTGCTAGATGTGGGACAGAAGGTTAAAAAAAAAAAAAAAAAGACAAAAAGCCCACACATACACACATTACAAAACTACTTCTGCAGAGGGATGTTTTAGAGCTGTTTTACACTGCCACTGTAAAGAATGCTTTCCTCACTCAGCTATTGGATGTTTACATTTGTTTTTTAATTGATTACTTACTACTTGGACATATACGTATGTTGTGGTGGAGTATGAAGTTTTTTCATTTAGAATAAAATATTAATTCTCTTTTATGTCATGCCAGCTAAAATCATTTTCTCAAGTTAGTACAGTGCATGTTAATTTTGCTTTTAGAAAAACTGATGGTTTAGAATTTAGATGATACTAAATCTAAATCAAGGGAGGAAAAAAAATCAGTCTTTTTCTAATGACTTGTCAGCCTAGCTCACAGCAACCTCAAATGCCTAGGTTCAAGTGATCCTCCTTCCTCAGCCTCCCAAGTAGCTAGGACTACAGGCACCTGCCATTATCACCAGCTAATTTTCTGTTTATAGAAGAGACAGGGTCTTGCTCTTGCTCAGGGTGGTCTCGAACTCCTCAGCTCAAGGGATCTTCCCACCTTGGCATTCCAGAGTACTAGGATTACAGGTGTCAGCCACTGTGTTTGGCCAACATAGTAAATATTTTTTCCCCATGACTGGACACAGTGGCTCATACCTGTAGTCCCAGCACTTTGGGAGGCTGAAGCCGACAGACGACTTGAGCCCCTGAGTTCAAGATCAGCCTGGACAACATAGTGAGACTCTATCTCTACAAAAACATTTAAAACTTAGCTAGGCATAGTAGTGTGGGTCTATATTCCTAACTACTCAGAAGGCTGAGGGAGGAGGATCATTTGAGCCGAGGAGTTTGAGACTATAGTAGGCTATGATCACGCCACTATATTCCAGCCCGGGGAACAGAGTAGGACCCTGTCTCAAAAAAAAAAAAAATCAAATTTAATTTTAAAATAATAATTTTTGATCCAGTAGTGCTGTTTAAAAGTACAGTTACATTTAATAGGAGTAAAAAAAAAAAAAAACTTACCAATAGTGGTTGAGAAAAAAGTTCTAGCTGAGCTCTATAAATGATGTCATCAAGAACTTCCTGGCCAAGCTCCCACTGTCCATTATACCTATGGAGAAGCAGATCATTCACTATCTTATGCAAATATCTCTAATCGTCATCACAGCTTTTTTTTACTGTTCCAGGTCCCACTATTTTGGTTGTGAAGATTTTCACATCAAATTATACATCATTTCATTTATAAACTATCCCAGTATAAGAACAAAATGAAGATTTCAAGATTTTATCTTTAAAATGGGTTACAGATGTTTCTTCACATAAATTGGTTTTTATTATGCTGATATTCATAATAATCTATTTAATGCATTCATGAAAACCAGGGTTACAAACTATGTAGAGATACACAGTTTTCCACACGGAAAACATGACAATTTGTAGACTCCAATTTTAATGAATAGTTATACTTTGGCCATTTATGTGTAAAAAGTACTAAAAGAAAGCCATATTAGAAAAGCAAGATAACAAACTCATCATGGAACAAAAGATTCAGTGTTGTGTCTGATTAGGAAGAAAGTGAAATATTAAAAGTTTCCAAACATTATTCATAAAATGTTATGCTCCACCTACTTACATAGCATAATAAACCCCTGTGAGAAGTTGCACCATAAATTCAGGATCCAATACTATTCGACCACAGAGTTCTTTCCAATGTTTTTCATGTTGCCGTGGAAACCCACTTACACAAACCCTAGAAAAATATAGTATTTAACATGTGTGACCTTCTGATTCACTACATAGTTTTTTCATTCATAAGTTCATTTATTCAGTTTATTCATTCCTCAAATATTTACTGCGTGCCTGTTACATTCCAGTCACTGTTCTGGGACTAGGCCTATATTCATGAACAGATCAAAGTTAAAAATAAATAAATAAATAAATAAATAAAATCTGAGCCCTCAAAAGGTATACATTCTAGTGGATTGTATCCATGAAAGCAACAACTTTTCTCAAATAGAGAACCACCTCTTTCACAGTCATCCTTCTCTGTCTTCCCTCTCACACACACAAACATAAATATGCATAACTTTCACTCATCTCAACTTGTATCAAGCTGAATTATTGGGAAGTACATAAATCTCAAAACAAAGAGACGTTTTATTTTTATTTATTTATTTATTTATTTTTTGAGACAGAGCCTCAAACTGTCCCCCTGGGCAGAGTGCTGTGGCCTCACAGCTCACAGCAACTTCCAACTCCTGGGCTCAAACGAGTCTCCTGCCTCCGCCTCCCAAGTAGCTGGGACCACAGGCGCCCGCCACAACACCCAGCTATTTTTTGGTTGTAGCCATCATTGTTGTTTGGTGGGCCTGGGCTGGATTTGAACCTGCCAACTTAGGTGTATGTGGCTGGTGCCTTAGCCGCTTGAACCACAGATGCTGAGCCAAGACATTTTAAAATACTGTTGTTTAAAAATGGCCGGGCGTTGTGGCGGACGCCTGTAGTCCCAGCTACTTGGGAGGCTGAGGCAGGAGACTCGCTTGAGCCCAGGAGTTGGAGGTTGCTGTGAGCGTGATGCCATGGCACTCTACCCAGGGGGATAGCTTGAGGCTCTGTCTCAAAAAAAAAAAAAAAAAAATACTGTTGTTTGTGAAGTCATCTTTAATTAAAGCACCATAAATAACTTCCTGCCTTTTACCTCATTAAGAGACACTTCCAAAACATTTATGCTTGATAATTATCAAAAGTCATAATGTACTTATAATATTTTATTTTATTTTATTTTGAGACAGGAGTCTCATTATATTGCCCTTGGTAGAGTGCCATGGCATCACAGCTCATAGCAACCTCCAATTCCTGGGCTCAAGCCATTCTCCTGTCTCAGCCTCCCAAGTGGCTGGGACTACAGGTGCCCTCCACAAAGCTCGGCTATTTTTTTGTTGTTGTTGTAGTTGTCATTGTTGTTTAGCAGGCCCATGCCAGGTTCGAACCACCAGCCGGTATAAGTGGCTGGCGCCCTAACAACTGAGCTACAGGCACTGAGCCTACTTATAATATTTTAGTAAATTAACTTATTACTATAATTATTATGGTGAGTCAAGAAGAAATTTTTTAGTGTTTAGTGCCTTAAGGTCTCAGGAAATTTTTTTTAAAGTTCAATTTATACATACATATTTTTTGTAGGAGAGAAATGTATTATGTGATCAGTAAAAGACTTTCAATTGAAAATGGCATTATATTAAGAAATAATTATGTGAGGACAGTAGGTTGGAAATTAAATTTCAAGGAGAAAAAGAAACAATATAATGTCAGACTATTAAAGAAGAACTTAAACTTTTTGGTTTTTGTTTTCCAGAAACAGAGTCTCTGCCCCCTGAGCTATGATTATACCACCGTATTTCTGGGCTTCAAGTGATCCTCCTGTATCACCCTCCTCAGTAATTGGGACTACAGACATATGCCATCATGCCAGCTAAATCTTTTTTTTTTTTTCTGAGACAGAGTCTCACTGTCACCCTTGGTAGAGTGCCGTGGCATCACAGCTCACAGCAACCTCAAACTCTTGGGCTTAAGCGAGTCTCTTGCCTTAGCCTCCCAAGTAGCTTGTGACTACAAGTGCCTGCCACAACACCTGGCTATTTTTTTGTTGTTGTTGTTGCAGTTGTCGTTGTTATTTAGCTGGCCTAGGCTGGATTTGAACCCGCCAGCCTCAGTGTATGTGGCTGGTACCGTAACCACTGTGCTATGGGCGCCAAGCCATGCCAGCTAAATCTTAAAATTTTTATAGAGACAGTGTTTACATTGCCCAAGGTGGTATTAAACTTCCAGCCTAAGTGATCCTCCTACTTCAGCCTCCCAAAGTGCTGTGATTATAGGAATGAGCTATCATCTCTGGACAAAGCATGTTCTTTTATTCCTCAAATGGATGATGGTGGCTATCATATCAGTGTGGATTTATGTTATATACATTTAAAATAGTGACTCAACAGTTATTTTTTATTATGTCAGCATTTATATACTAGAAATTAAATAATGGGCAATTATTTAAGGTAAAATTAATTTTTTTCTTTTTGCAGTTTCTGGCTAGGGTGGGGTTTGAACCCACCACCTTGGTATATGGGGCCAGCACCCTACTCCTCTGAGCCACAGGTGCCGCCCTTGAAATTTTTAAATGAAAACTTAAAAATGTACAAGTGGAAGGCCGGGTACAGTGGCTCACGCCTATAATCCTAGCACTCTGGGAGGCCTCAAGGTAGGTGGACTGCTTGAGATCAGGAGTTTGAGATTAGCCTGAGCAAGAGTGAGACCCTGGTACTTGGGAGGCTGAGGCAAAAGGATCAAATGAGCCCCAGAGTTTGAAGTTGCTGAGAAGTAATGCCACACCACTCTACCAAGGGTGACAAAGTGAAATTCTGTCTCCATAAAAAAAAAAAAAAATGTACAAGTAGATACATAGGTTTTCTTTCTTTTTTGTTAATGTCATCTTGGCTACAGGTGTATATTTTTTTACAAAATTCTTTAGGGGATATGAACAGAAGTTTCAGGACTATTAAACTCTGCCACTGCTTTCATTATTAAGAGACTATTAAAGGCCATGATGTGTTGCAAATAAAAGAGCTGACAGATTTCTTTTAATGAACCCAAAATCATCACTCAAATTTATCTGCAAATAGTCAGTGGGTAGCCTCTAGATTTGAGATAAGAACTTTATTAGCCATTAATCATCTTATTACGGGCAAGAGAAAATAACATTTTTTTTTTTTTTTTTTGAGACAGAGCCTCAAGCTGTCCCCCTGGGTAGAGTGCCGTGGCATTACAGCTCACAGCAACCTCCAACTCCTGGGCTCAAGCGAGTCTCCTGCCTCAGCCTCCCAAGTAGCTGGGACCACAGGCGCCCGCCACAACAGCTGGCTATTTTTTGGTTGCAGCCATCATTGTTGTTTGGCGGGTCTGGGCTGGGGATTCGAACCCGCCACCTTAGGTGTACGTGGCTGGCGCCTTAGCCGGTTGAGCTATAGGCGCCGAGCCAACATACTTATTTTAAGATAATCTATAAAATCAAAGTTATAGTTTATTTATTTGAGACAGTCTCACTTTGTCACCCCCAGTAGAGTGCTGTTCCATCCTAGCTCACAGCAACCTCAAACTCTTGGACTTATGTGATTCTCTTGCCTCAGCCTCCCTAGCAGCTGGGACTACAGGCACCTGCCGCAATGCCTGGCTATTTTTAGAGATGAAGGTCTCACTCTGGCTCAGGCTGGTCTCAAACCTGTGAGCTCAGACAATCCACCTGCCTCAGCTTCCCAGAGTGCTAGGATTATAGGTGTGAGCCACTGTGCCCAGCCTCAGTTATAATAGCTAATTTAGATTGGCCTTCCCTCCTTTAACAAAATTAGTAAGTTTTGTTATAAACAGGATCGCATTCTCTTCCCAGCAATACAATAGTATGTGAATTTGAGCAAAGCATTTGTGGTGGATAGACTCTTGGAGTCCAAGATCCCTCCTTCTGATATTCACCTCGTGTCATCCCGTCCCCTTTGAGTGAGCATGAGATATGTAACTTGTTTCTAACCAACAGAACACAAAGGTGATGGGATTCCATGATTATGTGATTATGTTACATAAGGACTTTCTGGAGTCACTCTCACTCCTCTGGCTTTGAAGAAGCAAGCTGCCATGTTGTAGGCTGCCTATGTTGGGAGGCCCACATACAAGAAGCTGAGTATGGCCTCCAGCAGACAGCTACAATACACTGAAGCACTCAGGGTGGCACCTGTGGTTCAGTGAGGAGGGTGTCAGCCCCATATACTGAGGGTGGTGGGTCCAAACCTGGCCTTGGCCAAACTGCAACAAAAAAATAGCTGGGCGTTGTGGCGGGCACCTGTAGTCCCAGCTACTCCGGAGGCTGAGGCAAGCGCCTAAGCCCAAGAGCTGGAGGTTGCTGTGAGCTGTGATGCCACTGCACTCTACCAAGGGTGACAAAGTGAGCTCTATCTCTAAAATAAATAAATAAATAAAATAAAAATAACTGAAGCACTCAGTCCTAGAGCACAGGGACTGAATTCTGCCAACAAACATGTTGAGCCTCTGATGAGACTGCAGCTCCAGCCACTATCTTAACTATAGCCTTATAAGATCCTAAGCAGAAAGCCTCAGCTAAGTTACACCCAGATTACTGACACACAGAAACTATGAAATAAGTATGATATGTTATGCTGTTAAATTTGTGATAATTTTTAAAGAAAAAAACAAAAAAAATTTGTGATAATTTGTTATTCAGATACAGAAACTAATACAGTAATTAACCTTTCTAGGGACTTGGTTTCCTTAAGTAAAAATCAGCTGAAAAGGATGAATGCATTATTTTTTTCTAATTTTTGAGACAGTCTCTCACTCTGTCACTTTTGGTAGAGTACCAGGTGTCATAACTCATAGCAACTTCAAACTCTTGGGCTAAAGTGATCCTCTTGCCTCAGCCTCCCAAGTAGCTGGGAGTACAGTCACCAACCACAATGCCCAGCTAGTTTTTCTGTTTTTAAAAGAGAGAGAAGGTCTAACTCTTGGTCAGGCTGGTCTTGAACTCCTGAGCTGAAGCAATCCACCTGCCTCAGCTTTCCTAAGTGCTAGGTTTACAGACATGAGCCACTGTGCCCAGCCAGAATTCCTTTTATAACTGAAATTGTTTGTCTCCAAACTAATTTGTATTATTAAAGTTTTGTGATATGATGAAAATTTCTATTTCCACGCGTCTATCCAAATTATTAGAAATTCTTATGTAATAAGATTATGATCTATGAAACACATAGAGTACTCACCCCCCCACACACACACACAAAAATAAGACACACAGATAATTGGTGCTATTGCTAATCAAATTCTCCAACACAGAAAGTTACTTAAGAAATGTATGGGGAAAGGGTAACATTCTTTAAGACTCTTCTAATATATAAGACTATTTAATCAAAGCTCTCAAAGTGATTTATAAAAACTAGAATTCAGGGAATGATTTGGTATATTACTAAACAACCCCAAACTTAGATGTCCTGGTAAAGCCTCACGTTCAGCTAGAAAATATTTTATCAATACTGAAGTCACATTTCAGAAGTCATAAGAATAAGGATTCCTATGGGAATCTATGAAATTGTTTACTACTATTATCACCAGAAGTCAGAATTCTGCCTAGTATACAGAATGTGCTCAATAAATATCTGCCAAATAAATATACAAATAGAAAGGTTAATAATAATTACTCTTCTCACCTGGAGCCCATACGACAAAGAGACTGGTAAGATGAGGCAGGCATATACACGATAGCAGAATTATAACACAGCATGAGAAAACTCAGAACTTCAAACCTTAAAAAAAAAAATCAGGGCAAAGTATTATAATTATTTCTACTAGAGACTGTAGTAAATGACTTATTCACTGGATGGTTATAATGATGCCTTCATATTGACCTTCATGATTTCTCAATTAGATTATGGTAGAATGTCCTCAAAAGATTTCTCTGTTTCTGTTCTCCTCATTACAAGTCATATCTGTTGCTGCCTTTTACAATTTCTTCTCTAAAAAATAAATCATCATGCTTAAACAGATGACTCTCCTATCAACAAAAGTCCACCATCTTCCTATTGACTTCATGATAAAGCCCAAACTTAACCATAAGATCCTTTAAAATCCATCCTCAATCTACCTCTACAGCCTTACTTCAGCCCACCACATATATTACAGTATGTCAGTCTTACCACCCCACAAATATGCTATAACCTTCCATAATTTTTTGCTTTTATGCAAGCTGCTCCTTCTTACTAGAATATACTGTTTCACATGGATGATTCTTGCTAAGACCTCAAGTCCTGGCTTAAATTTTTACCTTAGTCACATAGCTATTCTTATTTTCTTGGCTAAAATAAACTGGTTCTTTATCTATGTAGCTCTAACACAGCATTTATCCCCCTGAACTGTAGTTCTTGGGCTCTACCTCTGTTTTGCCCATTTAAGTAATAAGCAACTTTAGAACCAGGACCCTGATTTATTCATCTCTAACACTAATGTACAGTAAAGTGTCTAATACATTATAATTACTCAATAAATATTTATTGAATGAATAAATGGTTTTCTAATCTTTATAACCTTTAAGAAAGTGGCTCCTAAACCTGGACGTACATTAGTTATTTAAGAACCTTTTAAAAAACACGAGTTTCTGTGTTTTAATATACACGGACTGAATTAGAATCTCCAAGGCAAAACCAAGGAAAATCGTACTTCCAAAAAGCTTCTCATAGGTAAACAATGAAGGGCATGGATATATGAAAATTCTTTATACTATTTCACAATTTTTTTTT